TACTATTATCAACATTACTACCACTATTGCTAATACCTGTGTTTCTATTACCAGTTATATTTTTTAGTGATTGTTAATGAGTAAGGTGTCCTTAATGTATCTGGTTTCTTCTCTTAGATCTTTTGTTTTATAGATACTTTTTTTGACCCTGTTACTGAAACATTTTACCAAGCCAACTTTAATTGACATACGGTGAGACGATGTGAAATCTAAGTAACAATTTGAATGTGAAGGTTCTCCAAAGGCACTGGTGTCTTATCTCTTATCCTTTTCCGTCCAGCATCGTTAATTCCCCTTCACTATTTTCCAACTCATAGGTAAATTATGTTGCATTAACTGCTGAATTTATTTGAGAAGAAACTATGTATGTGCTCCTATTTCAACACTATGAACTTGTCGTCTGCATATCGTAACCATATTTTGAGGGCTGACGCAACACCTAATGCCTGCAACAGGAATAACTCAGCACCTGTTCCGGATATATTGAGAGGAAATCAAGACTATATAAAGGTGGTGTAGTTATCTCGATATGACAATAGAAGATAAATTGTTTCCGAAAAGTAATCCAGTAAACAATACTGTTACGCTGTATGAAAAACCTTATAAATCAGTTAAGATGAATCCAATATCATGTTGTTTATTTTACTGCGCACGATAAAATTTTTAAACTAATGTCATTTTCCTAATTTCAACATTACTGAAATTGACTTAGTTTTATAATCGTATAATGTATTCAGCGTGATATTGAAGAGTATTTTCCAAAGTGACGTGTTGTTTTATAACGAACAATATATGCAGAAAGAGTTGATATTTAACTAATAAACTCTGTGCTACATTTCGAATGTTCGGTTAAGCTTGTGCTACTGAAGCCAATAAATCTTAAATATCCACCTACGCTCTGTGTGTTGGAACGTTAATGCAAATGACTGTATCTTTGGGGAATTCTACATCCTATGAGTTTGACACTGAGTTTTCAATGCGTCAGTATCCATAGGAAATATGCCTATCAGCTTCACGGAAATGCGATTATGTGTCAGTAAAAATAAGTTTCCTCACTAAAAAGATAGATTTATGAGACATGATAATGTTTTACCAACTAACTGCAATATCTCAACTCTATACACACCCAGAAATACCAATAGAACGTTGACAACGTATTCTTTTCTTCATTCTATGATTATTGCTAAGCCACAGAAAAGGGATTCCATTTTTATATGCTGAATTAAAAATTCTGCAACTATATTATTATTTAGTAACTGATTTAATTTTAATGATATCTTAGATATGCCAATGCATAAAAATACTTTGACTTTTCATGTCTATAAAATATGCGGAAACGTTTTTCTTGACTTGTCTTTTAACTTAAACGTCCATACAGTAACACAAGACACACCTTATTTGAATGAGGACAGAATCACTAAACTTCACGGATTCTCATCATTTTTAATGTGAATTACGAACTTTAAACAAGAACAACAACTTCAAAACAGTCTGAGTTGCCAGGTTATTTAAAAACACCTACGTTAGTTAACTGAAACAGTTATTATTAAAATTGATGTATGTAATTCCTAATTTGTTCATTTCCTCTATGACAAACATGTTCAACCGAGTTTACTGGTAAAATTCATCTGTCTGGATACTTTAACTAATTCCAAGTGATTTGTTGCGGCAAACTACTGATAACTAGAGAATAAAATTAACAAAACTGATGTTTCTTAATAAGGAAAATTTGACCCTTAACCACTTTTATTGCTTTTTGATTAGAATAAACTGAGAAATAGTTTAAATGATATTTGACTTCATAAGTGTAACTGAGATGTAACGTCATACAACTGCTCATCATGTCAAATTGATAATCACAAGCCACCCTCTGTTTCTGACAGAACTCTGATGCAAATAAGTGCACAATGAAGCAATCTTTTATGATGGAAAATAAGTAAAGACAATTTGTTTAAATTTTCTGTACAGATAACTCAAAAACAACAGAGGTAGCTCAAGCTGTTTTCTTCTTTCCGGATAAAACTTTGGTTAGTTTTTAAATCTGCGTGCAGGTTTATTCTTTGTGACGGATGGTATTTCATGTCTATAATGTTTTTGTAAGTGAGCGAATAAGGAGAAATATAGTTCCGTCCGAGATTTTTCAAAAACATTTAAGTTTCTTTAAGCATCTCTTCCAGAATTGACTTATCATTCGCTTCTGCAAGTTTGACGGGAAAATCCACCTTCAGCTCAATAGCAGAACACCGTGTGAACTCAGGCGACTCAGCTCCTTTTGAGAATTCATTATTAATTTCCAACAAGGTTTGGTTGAACCACTCAAAGGGAATAAGATCAAGGCATTTGGGTGTAGTTGAAGCACTAGGCATCCAGAAGTTCAAACTAGCATTATATGTCTAAAGAAGATAAGTTCAACCTTCTTCTTTGCTATTATTGACTAATCCTTTATTACACAACTTTACTTTATATTTTCATAATACCCTGCTTATTTCACTACTCTAAACCTTTATCTTTAATAATTAACTTCTTTCCGTTGCACAATGTATTTTGACCCATGACCAGAATTTAGCACGGAATATTCCAACTGTTGTAACATTTATTTATGGATGTACAGCCCGGTATATGAATTCGTCAGAAAGAAAGTTTTTTCCCCTCTACAATCATCATTTTGCCTTTTCCAAAGATCATATCAGTATATTCTGCTATTAAAGAGTAGGAAGGATCACGTGACGGTAAAAGGACTGGACAAGTTTCAGCTTTTTTTCGTCAAACCTGAATAGGTGAATGGAAAAATTTTGTAAGTATTTGGTGAATCCGAATTGTTCATTGGTGATGACGAAGCAACTGTGAACTCTTAGTTTCCACTAAGCAGAAACCTAGTAGTATCTGCCTGTTGTTTCACATGAAAATATTACGAAATGGTGGAATACTTGGGTTTGATGTGCATTTATCTGTGTTTATTCTTTGGAAATACGTTTTTCGAAGTAGCTTCAAATACTTAGTTTTACGTTTCATTAATTTATGACTTATAGTAGTGAGTTTGCCAGTCCAAAATTCCTAATTTCGCAATTATGGATACTATAGAGGCATGTCATTTGTAACATACATAGCACGAGACTGAAGTTGATTTTATTTTTCTTAATAAAAAGATATTTCTAATATCCTGGACAAAAAAACCTAACTAATGCTTCCTTTATTAAACCACATTAAACAGTTATTAAAATTACCAATTAATACGACTTGTTAGGTTTTGCGTTAAATGTTTCAATAAATATAGCAGTATAACTACCATCATAAGCAAATTGATATAGCAGCAAACTAAGCTTGATATTAATTTATTTAGGGAAGTTCAAAGCAAACCTTTAATTTACTTCCGTGACTGTTACTGCTTTTCGCTAAAGGCAGACTGCCACCTTACTGTAATCAATGATTTCTAGAGAATCTGGACTCATACCACTCTTCAAGAAAGTCAGTGATGCAACTGCTAACCTAATGGAACTACTAGTTACTCCCTTCAAGAACCATATATGTATATTGACTCATCAATATTATATTATTTAAATCCACTTATCAACATGAGCAAACCATGTTGTTTGAAGCTTGGAAAAGGATAGAATAATTGAAAGCCTGAAATCTTAAACTGCCAGCTTACATTCCAAAGTGCTAGTTATTTACTGTTCAATGGACTATGACAAACCATAAAGAAAAAACGAAGATACATTTACTGGCAGAACTTTAGAGTATCTTCCTTAAACTTTTTCAGGTAATTTCATCGCAACCAGGAGTTTCTCAATATATAGCTGAACACATAATGACCCAATCAAGTGGACATTTTCGAAATTTTATATGTAGTTCTGATAATCTAGATTTCACCACGAAACGTTAAAACAAGCTTCCTACGCTGATTTCGTATACTCAACTACCTGTCATACTTATCGGGAGGCAAAGTAAAGAAGTTATATACAACGATATACCAAGCATTTACTTAAGATGGTTTTAGTAGGAAAATGGCCTGTTTTCGTGCTGCTTATTATTTATCTTTCCGCCTGTTTTGCATCTTGACACTTTTGGTACCCCCAACACATGATATCCTACACAACTTTCACAATACGAGTTAAAAAAGTTTTACTAATTCATGTTACTTAAACTCTGACTGTTAAGAGAAAATTGTATCATCTTACTTACTGTATTGTATTTTCACAGGATTTTATGTTCTTTTCGTGCTTTCATCAAACAATGAAACAAGTTGAGTACAATTTTTTTGGCAGAGTCCCCGTCTTAGATTTTTATAGGTTTCTAACGTACCACAGTTTGATACAATAGCTAATTATTGTGGACAGAACTACGGCATTATATCAAAATACCATTTTTATATATTTCTTTAAGTATTTATTTTCCATAAAAAGGTCGTGGTGAAGAATAGTCACAGTTATATGACATAATCAAAAATAGGTCTGGTAGTGCATCATATTCATGGTGAACTATTTTCTTCATTCGTGTAAAAATATAGTTCATTTGTTAGAAAAAATCTCCACGTTGTCTATTGGTTCATCTTTGTAGTTTATTCGTTCCCAGATTTCTTCTCTAACTACACTTGACAGAATTTTTACTAATATAAGAAATAAAACGCCAAAAAATCCCTGAGTTGAAGCTTGTGGTCCTGCTCTACTTTCACGGACATAAAATGAGCCACTAAGGTAGGGGAGATAAAAATCAAGAATGTGATGAAGATCATGTAAATAAATTTCAGTCAAGACCAAAGGAATGAAGATAAGAGTATATATTGAGGAGATAACCTCTGGAAGATAAAATTAACTTTCAAAAACATTGATCAGAAGAAATTCAAAATGATATGAAAGGCATCAAAATAAAGTAAGACATTCAAATAAAAACTGTTTCAAAAATATAGTATCTTCGTTTGTTGTACCTCTTCTTTTTCAATGTCCATATATTTATTTGTTTTCATGACGTCTGAATTTATTCCCCATCACCAGGACCGACCCTTAGCTTTTGACATGCGTTCGTACAGCAAATGCAATCAATCTTTTTATTATTTTCTTATCCTCAAGAAAGATTGCAAACAGGAATGCTTTCATGGAGAAAATGTTCAAAGAAAAGGATGAAGTTATTTCACATTTTAAGATGTACTAAAAAAGAGAAAACGATCACTGTGAAGTGGTTTCCTTCTTGACAAACTCATTTTCTTATCAGTACTTTCTTTTCCACCATTTGTTCAAGAATGTACAGCTAAGGCAATGAGTTTATGAGAAAAAAACATTCTTTCATTGCAATCATATTTCTTCTTGTCACATGGTGATATGGGTTTATGCTGATATTTTAAGATTTGTTGACAGTAAGTTTAGAGTTAATGCAAATCTACATATAAAAAATGTTTCAGCTGTTTCCATTCTCAATCAGTTAAAATTCAAATAAAGAGTGAGCGAGATATATGCTATCCCTTAACAGATATAGCCTCAAGAACGTTTATAACATATGTTAATAACTAAATAAACAAACAGACTTCTGATGAAAATCAGATATTTTATCTATTTACCTAATACCAGATGCCCAATTCATCCTTTGAGTAAACCAGAATGTTTCCTTTAGCTTAGATTGTTTATGAGTGCTATATTGCTTCGTAGTCATTGGTTTTCTCTTTGAAGTTGATGAAGATTATACAACCATAACTTTTGAAGCACTATCACTAAAACGGTTAGGTACTACTTGCTCAGAAACAGTTTTTTTGTAGGTTTTATCAAACTACAATACAAGTTTGAAAGTAAACTATGAGTTTCATCATGAATAACATTACGTAAACAGAAAGGTAAAGGACCCATCGTAATAAAGGATCAAAACGAGTGAGTGCAATAACTAACCTCCTTTGATAAGACAAGCAAAATATTCACAAAATAACTGATAAGCAATAGGTATGTTGTGAATCTTTTGTGAATGTCCTGTGCTACTATAAGAGTAATTCAACAACCACTAAGGGTGAACGAAACAATTTTTTGGCAAAAGAGCTTAGAAATGACAATATTTCAACGATTTATTCTACTACCTGCTTAGTTGATGAACTTTAAGCAACCAAATTTATTGATCACATCACATTAGTTGTGCATCATTTACAATTCCAGAATATTTTCGCCGCAAACTGTTTTCTACGTACGGAGTTTGTGAAACGTACTAAGCTAAAATATCAGCTTATATAATACAGTGTTTACTTGAGATTATAATTAGAAATTGTAACTTTGTTGAACAGTTTCTTAATGTTTAAGAAAATGAACTGTAAATAATCACAGTGATCTCAGCAAGTATAGACTATTCTTTTCAGATAACTTAAAAGTGCAACTGTGTAAGACCGTACCCCAGAAAATGAATTTGTGTGTTGTCGTGCAGAAACTTTGCAGTTACTCTGCATCGACTAACAATGAGATAGGGAACTTCATTTCGCATTACAGCGTTATAAATAAAAGCTGGAAAAGAAGCATTCAAAATATAGAATAAAACGCTTTTGAAAGATACCATAATGACTAAAATCTATGTTAGGGATTTCAGAGACGCCTAATTTTGATTTAGGTTGTACGAATAGGACTCATCGATCATGAAATTCCAGTGAAAGGAATACGCCAGGTAAATTATCATTAAATACAAAATGCACTGATGATAAGATATTCTACTGGAGGTGATATTATTGAAATAGATGGAAAAATGTGAGTACTTCTGAGTATCGGAGTGCAATCTAACCTTCGAAAGTTGAACAGATAACTCTTTAGTTCTAAAATTTTAATTCTTTCACCGCAATTAAGCAGCATGTCTAATATATCGAACGAGAGTTATAACTTCATAATCTGATTAATGGAGTTGTTGTTGCTAGTTGTGCACTAACGTACACCTTAAATAAAACAGTAATGAATTACCTATTGTAATTTTTTTGAAAAGTTGGTTATTCTATGGAGATCATTATCACCGTTCATATAAGATTTCTATGGAGTTTGCAAATAGAAACTTGAGTTTTGTTAGAAATTTAAGGGTAGAAAACAAATCAGTTTAGTATTTTGCCTGTAAGAATGATGAACTAACAATCTGGAGGCCCTGCTTCAAAACCTTTCGAACATACTAATTTTATTCTACTTCACTTACAATCCTTTTTCTATTAAAATAACTTTTCGATGTTTAGGGAACAAAACAGCCTTTCTTCCATCTAGAAACAATTTCCTATTATCCCGGACATTCATCACTAAGTAATGCACCTCTAAATCTTTGATAAATAATGAGGTCATTAAAGATTTCAGATAACACTTCCTAATGAATGCCAACAAGGATAAATATCTAAGTCTGTGGCATCCTCTTAAATGACTTCTGTCACCAAGCAGTGAAACAGGGTACTGGATAGCTTTACTTCGCTCAGCACACTAGCCACATTGCTGCCTTGAAATATCAGATTTGATGATGAAAATCAGATAGAGGATAGCTGGAAGCCAAGAAGCTTAGGTGGCTGATTCCAGTTCACACTGCAGATTGCTCCGAAGTTAGACAACTCCAAGCCAACTTAGTGATCCAAGGAAACTCTTTCAGATATCAAGCTTACAGTATCAAAGTGCAATGGTCCAGTAATCTGAAGGTCTAATCAAAACTGAGAGTTTCTTGAATGTTGATGGGTTTTCAGAAAGTAGGGCATGATTTTGAAGTTTCATCATAAGTGAATATTCACCACAAAAAATACAATATTCTTCATATAAAATTTTATGTGTATCGGTACTTTCATTTGTTTTATTGAATTCTTCATATAAACAAATGGTGAATGAAAAGTGTTGGCTGAATGTGAGCAGTTGGTAGTGTGAAATCAATTGGAAACTATATGTAGCTGTAGAAGCCAACAATTTTTCAGCTACTGAATCTTCCGCTAATCACGTACCTTTTGAAGTCTATAAAGGTCAGGTATTTGAGGTAGTCACTTAGTTAATGCATTCGGAAAAGGTGATAAAAAGTTTTCCAAACAGTCAGTGTATTGTTGCCGTCAGACAAATTAACCAACAAAAACCATAGACAGACGCAGAAAGTGTAATATCCTCACAGTGAAGACAACTCATTACTTTAGAAACTACTCTGCATTTACTATCTACATTCATTCACAACAAGACCAACTATCTTTACCGAATCTTTCATGGGTAGTGAGCGTCTTTGTAAATTAGCTTGCACTGTGCTTCATAACGTCTATCAAAGAGAAAAACTGATGGAGGAACTAGCTACTGATTTATTTGAAGTATTTTGTAAGTGTTGACTTTCTGATTATTTGCCGAAATTTTATTTCCAGAAATTTCGATAGTTACTTCTTGAAACTCACCAAGTAAACAAACTCCTCCACAGGCCGAAAACTGCAGTAAGTAAATATTGGGTGCAGATAAAAACATTGTTACAATTGCGCACAGTATACTTCCAACCGTCTTGAAGGAAAAATAAAATTAGAGAAAGTATTATAATACAAGTGGTAAGTATTAAATTCTTAAAAAGTTTTTATTTAAACCTGAAAGCATTTTCAATGACTTGTAGATTTTGTGATATGTAACTTCTAATCCAAACTACTTTGGCAAATATCTGTAATGCCGATTGCTTTCGTGTTAAATTTATTGCCGTAGACATAAACTTTATTGCTTGATTAAATGATGCAAATGCAGTGACTTCGTTTCAGTTAGATGAACAAGTTCACTTAAGTTTTTTCTAAAGGCTTAAGCTATGATGATTTGTGATTCCTATGGTGTGTTCCTTGACTTATAGAACTGATGAAAATTACGTTATTGAATTTACTAACCTATAAAAACGAACTGTTAGGTGTGTTTCATTATTTAAGAGTGAGCAAGTATAACAACAAAAGCTCTGCAGTTTCTTTGCTAAATATTTATTCATAAGTTATTTTTTACAAGTGGGGCTTTGAAACATATGATTTGTTTACTGCTCGTTATCAGTTGGCTGAAACTGCGGCAAAATGACCCACTGATAGTACTACACTTGACATAGCTTGTGAACCTTTTCATTATATCCTTTCGTTATGCATGAAAGTTTGTTTAGTACCTTCCATCTTCTGGCTACCGATTAGGCAACTGCTCTTCGCTGTCTTCTGTTTTGATTTCAATCCATCGAGCAAAATTGTCTTCATATTTTTTTAATGAAGGAGAAGTGTGAATGGTAACTGGATTGTTTTTTGTGTTCATTATATGGGGAATTCTCTGACATACATTATGTTTAGTGATTAGAAAAACGCATAACACTTGTGCCAAGTGTCCTACATTTAATAACTGCAAACACACAATATTATCCTATAACTAATCTGTTCTTCCTGTAATGAAGGCCAGTTTACTCGAAACGTCAGGTTAGTGGTAAACTAGGTAGCGCAATCGTGTCTAGTACATTAATATAGGAGTAAGATTTTGGGTAGTGTTGGAATTATCCCTATCGTATTTCTTTTTGATAACATGCGTCACACAGTGAAACGGTATGATGTATTGGATGGCTTTTTAAGCAGAAATGATTACCCAAAGTCATACTGAAATAATTATGCCATTTCTAGATCTAGTTCTTATAGCTGTGTTTGGATATTCAGATATGAGGAACAATTTTACAGCTTAAATCAAAGAAAGAAAAACAGCAGATATATAGAACCTAAACCGATAAGTTGTGTGATTACTGTGGTATCGTTTTGAGCAACTTATTTTATGCAGACGTCAGATCAAAAATATAATTTCATTGTGATACATAAGAAAAAAGAAACAATATGGAATGATTCATATTTTTCTGAATAGCAGTTACTCGTTTTAGTGATTATCTTCTTACTCTAGGTACATAATATATCGACAGGTATGCGTAGCATTCAACTCATCTGTTTGCTTTACAGAAATGCAATTCCAACTAAGCTTACATATTTGGAAACGAAATTCGGTTGAATATTTTAGAAAGATGGGTCTCAGATGAGAAGCTTGAGCGTCAGTGATATATTTTACGTGAATGGAACTATCTAGTGAATAATTCACTCGATCGGGTACTTTGATATGAATCCCTCTCGATTCTTTATACTGCAGTTGTTTAAACAGTTAACACTGTGTACAAGAGGTGGTACAAGATCTACAAGAAAAGTGCCTTTATTCTCACCAAAGTTGTTCATCAACCATCACCATTATACGACGCTCAGTTACCACATAAACAAATTGTATTCACAAAAAAGTTAAGGTAACGATTCACTCATGAAGTTTTTTTCCAGGATATAAAATGTAACTTACGAATCCTGTGAAGATTATGCCATAGTTTGTAGAAAATACTTAGGACCAAATATGTTTCCTGAACCACCTGGCATGATAACGAACATACCACTTAAAACCAAAAATAAAGCCCAAACCCAAATGGCATATAAAGCTTTCAGAGCTACTGGCGGTGCCAAACCAATATGAGGGAATGTGAAAAGAATCACAGCCCAGAGTATGAGGACAATACACAGTGGTAACTGAAAGTTTAAAATAGGAAAATTAGCTAAAACGCATTATTTAGCACATTAATAATTGTAATTGAAAGACTAATGCATTTGACAGGATACCGCGCTAAAATCGGTTCTTACTACATTGCAGTACACTAACCTTATATTCGATAAATTGTTAAGATGTAGTGAAACTAAATGTATTCAGAACGCTAAGTAAGTAAAGGTGAAATGTTGGTTGAGTCTAACTAAAATAACCCAGTGATGACAATGGCAAAGCGTGTGACAAGTTAAAGTGCAATCTGCTAAGAAATAGTTCAAAATACTGCTCACTTATATCATTCCCGTCAAACAGAAGCCAAGTTCTCAACTTTTGTGTACTCTTGTGTACTGTACTGCCGACTGCCTCTATCCAACTGACATCTACCAAAGCGTCTCGTGATGCTGAGCTGCCCAATTTGCTGGTCACTTTGCAAAATGATATACAGGATTTAGTCAGCACTTAGAGCTAGAAAATATGAAGTTGGTTAACCTCCGGGGATAACATGGCTGACTACAACACTGGGTGATGCAGGTTCAAATCTCAGGTGGGACATTAATTCTATCGATGTTGCAGATACGCCTTGCTGACGAGTGCCATTAGGCATGAAACCTAAGTAGAGGGCTTCCTACCGGTTCCCTTCATCCAACCATCATCTATCGAATAAAATAACTGTTTATTTGCTTGGGTAAGCCTTCATAATACAAGTATTAAGCAGAATAATGTAGCAGGTTTTTAAATTGGATAGCTGAATATTTTCACTCTTATTCATTAGACATATTTCAAAAAGACCTCCGGGTGTCATGAAAATATTCTTTCCTACCGTATTCATTAGTAAAATTAATGGACTGACTTTAATTTGTACAGAGTATGCATTTGTGGGGAATATTCGATTCTCTGACCTAATCAACGCAAAACACCGTACTGCACAGTTATAATGCAATCTGCTTAATTTGTTCTGTTTTTCTATCTATCAACAATGAACCATAATAAGCACATATTGGTTGTAGTGCTACGGATTACTCCTGCTATCCCATTTTACATTGCATAAAGCTTCTTCAATTTATATGATGACTGTTTTGTTGAAATACCTACTGGAATTTCAAGTCAGGCATATTGCATTTAGCTAATGAAGGCAGATAAATATATCTCAGGTTAAGCTATTTGTGACTAACTTCTGCTTTAACCAATATTGTTTGAAAACTTAATTTTGAGAATTTGTTTCTTGAGATAAATGAAGAAGCATCCTAAGTAAATCAGACTGATGCTTTATATATATATATATATATATATATATATATATTTGTGTCAAAGTTCTAACTGCCGGCGCCTGCATACTTCAGATAAGAAATTTCTGAATACTAATGTAAGTTTTCAGTCAGAATTTGCCTTCAGATGATAGTCTAAGGCATAAGTTAGTATACTTCAATACGGATGTTACTTAGTAGGAAAATAAATTATAGTTGATGAAACGCCTAAACAGCGTAGAAAACTGTAGAACTGTAACTTTTTTTCTACGATGAGTTATATTATGATGAATACACTGATAATCACGATATGAGGGTTTTGTTTGACAGGTTCATAAAAGTAAACTTTCAAATTTAACTGAATCAAACGAAACTTAATGCATATCATCACCTTAATAAATGAACGAAAAAGAAATGAAAAAACTATCTTAACTGAAATGAGATCTATATCTTCTGATTTAGTCATTACCTTGAACGAATTCGATCCACTATCGCACCCCACATTATTCTGCCACCGGCATTAAAATGGCTGATACACTAGCAACAGTAGATAAGTACTGGTCGTCATTGATATGCGTTTGTCCGTAAAGCTGAAAAATAAGTGGATAGCATCGTAGACTTTAAATAACGATAAATAAAAATACCTTTCTTAGCAACACTGGTTTTCTGCCTATATCGGGAGCATATTCTCTATCTATAGACATCGTTGACCAGGGTTATTATAGGTAGCTTATTCAGATACACACCACTTTCAAGTGGGACCCATGAACCTCAGTCCATGATAATTTGCGAAATAGCTCCGATTTTTATTTCACTAGAACAGTAGTATCTCATGATTTATCTAAGCAGTTAGCAAACGTTTTCCGTTTTAGATAGTAGTGACATTTTTCATAGTTATACTTTGATTTCATATTCTCTGTACAAAATATTCAGGTTAGCCTTCTTTCAAACATTTTTGCATTCATATATTGAGAAATGTATTTTTCCTGCAAACTTAAGACGGAAAATTATTTAAATTTATAACCATAAGTGGAATTGATAACTTAAGTTGGATAACACTCGTGGTATGAGTATGTTGTAAAACACTTTGAACGACCTATTATATACATATATATATATATATATATATATATATATATATATATATATATGAAAGGAAACAAAGAAATAAATTATTCACAAAGCAAAGTAGTATGTCAAGGTCACTCCATGCAGCAAGACTTCAGCGGACTTAAACCACAGTTTTATGTAATTTTACAGGCAGAAAGACACCATTTTATCGAAATGTATTCAACTTCCGAGCCAAGTACTTTAAAAAATATCTATGTGCATAAGTAAATGATTTGATTTATACAGTTAAGTATAATCTCTTGATAAAATTTCCAAGGATTAAATCCTTGATCTTATAAGATGCATTTTACTTGTGTTATATATTAGAACAATAGACGAAACAAACGAATGGAGCGAATTACAATGGAATTCCAAATAATATCCCCACTAGAAAACAAACGGCCGATATTTCTTTCTGTTTGTACCCCTGAATAAACTCCCGCAATGCGTGTGTATGACAAATAGCCAACCATGTACGCAGTGCGTGATAAATTTCAGTTTACTTTCCGCTACGATATCGCTTCCAAACCAAATGAAATTTTTTCGATTGTTTCGGTGGACTAAATATTTGGTACTGAATCACGATAAAGGAGCTGAGGGTAAGAATAACTTTAAAGCATTACAAAGACTGGTTTATCGTTTGCAGACATGGGCTATACACATTGTGGATTGATAATTCTTAGCTGAAAGGAATCAAGAGTAACTCAGTCGTGAATCGTGAAACCACGATTGTAAGGATTATTACATTATGTGTAAGTCTGTTAACATGATTATGAAACTAAAATAGCTGAAGTGGATAGCAATACTTAGTGATACTGTGCAGATTAGAACTAAACAGAAAAGATTGGAAAGTTGTCGAACCAAGACCTTGTTGTTGTTCATGAACTATCTGCTGCTTACAGTATTGTACAGAATCGCAGACTTTCTGTTATGGTTGCACATTCGTACTTTTAGATGGAATCTCTAAAGCATGTTTTCCGATTAACTATTCCAGCTTATGTTTAGCCGCACGAAGTTTACTTCATTGCTATCGGATACAAAATTAGATTTCATAACACCATGATAATATGAAAGCATATCACATATACGTTATTGCCTTCTGCGAGCTACATGAAAAGAAAAACTGCTACTTCCTAAGGTTCTTTAATCATTATTTGAGTGTTAGTATGATTTCAAAAATATGTCGAAAGAAAAATGTCACAAAAGAATAATCTTAAGCTGCCACTCAGTCCAAAAATACATGGCAAACATAATTTGATTGTTTTGTGTCATTTGGACAGTTACCATGTTTTTTCATCCCACATGTATGAAAATCAAATAAAAAGGCCGCTAAAATTTCTAATGATCAGTCTTTTTGATTAATCTGAAGTAAAAGTTACAATAATTGTCCACGTATTTTGGGGGAATCAGAAAAAACGTGGCCTTGAAGATATCATAACATGTCGGAAATGTTGCATTCTACCGTCCTGGGGAATTGCATATTCACTCTTTTACACTATCGTGTTTGTCTGAGTTGTAGGAAGACCATTTGATAAGTTTATTTTGTACTGACTCTACCGTTGTTTGATGATTTATGACTCCTGAAATGACAAGCATAACATTTTTACAGAAATCTGAACAAATAAAAAGTGTTTACATGTTTATTCGATGCAATATATATAAGTGCTAAATTCATATTTAATTGTCACCTACTTTGTACGCTGATGTGATTACCGTAACAGGTATGATTGCTAAAAACATAAGCATCCATAAAAGATAGAAGTCGATTTTTCGAAAGATTTTTTTCGGTGGTACATTAATTTGGCTAAAATTTAAAAGGAGATAAAGTATAGTGTTACACTAGTAATAAATAAACTTTTTTCGCCCTCATATTTGAACAATGCATACAATCAAATATCTGAAGCTTGACTTAAACAAAAAAAATGAATGTGTTACATGACTGATAATACATAAAATACTACAAATCCACTACTGAAAATTCAGTTTGTTACTAACTCTAAGTGTTATAAAGTAGGAATAAGTTTAAGTTTATAAGTTTTACATTAAATTAAAATGTCTACTCATTTCTGAAACAGTTTTAGTTTGACTGAAATTTTAGTATTTTTCCTTCAAATGTTTTTTCCGACTGACCGGGTGAAGAATTTTCAGCCAAAAGCATCGAATAGATTTAATATAATTGCCTCAAGATAAGACACTCTTAAATCCAGTAGCACATTCTAATTTTATGTTTTACATTCATATACAATAAAATCATGATACTGGTTTGAAGTTTAATGACGAAACTGTTTAGATAATATTAAGGATGCCTCTGCTCTAAGACAATGTAAAATTCAAATCAGGATATTTTAGTTGAACATCAATTTGATGCACTTTTAGAGATTTACATTGGTAAAGGATGAATTCGAACTACTTTTTATGGTGCTGTCAAACGCTTTTGTAATAAATCCATCCCTTTAGTTTTCATAAGCTATCAATTGATGGAGTCAGTGGTACAGCCCTTAGATATTTTGTGCCTCCTGCATATAAAAGGAAGAAAGCAGTAAATATTTAGATGCATTATCAAAATATTCATCTTCATGCTGTCATTAATAAGTTTTCGTAAGCCTCGGCTTTCCATTTTAAATAATTCTTCATAAAACTGAATATTAATTCCTGTTAGTGGTCAATGAATACTGAACAAATAGTACATTCCTCACTGTTGCACCCCAACAGAGAAAACATCATAAATTAATGGAAAAACTCTTCAGAATTGGCCTGCATTTAGTTATAAATACAGCTGACTACTGGTTGATGTGCAAATCTAATTTTTTATTAGATACGCCTTTAAATTATTGCTTTATAGATAAACAAGGAATTAACTGCAGGTATACTGTATGTTACTGGCTAACATTTTGCTCAGAATCTCACGACTTTTGGCATAGGAGCTCTTACAAGATAAATTTAAACCATCGGGGAAAAACTTCGAGTTTCATTAGGTCGTAAAATATAAAGGATGAGGAAAAGACTAAATTGAACTCAAATCTTAACTCACTTGTTGTTTGCATTGGAAGAGTCAGGTTTATCCTGAAAGGTTTAACAAACACATGATGTTAAACGTTACACATTTCTACATTATATGATTTCATGAATTATTTGTATACGTAACTGTACCTGACTACTTTATTCACAGAACATGAGAAATATTCATATTTATTTATATGGATACAGGAGTGAACTTATAGGTGACCACGTTGCGATAATGAGATATAGGTGGCTTTTTCTTAGAATTACACTTACAAGCCAGTAATACATAGTTAAATGAAATTCCGATATGTTTTAAAATGATTTGGGTCATAAATTTGATCATAGAATGGGACAGAACAGTGTGTTATATAAGCGAATCGACTGAGTCTGATTAGGGAATGCTGTTTATTACTGCATGACAGTTTCCTGTAAGATAATATCGACTAGTTTTTCATCATCTTAGAGGCGCTGTATGCATCAGGTAGTACCATCTCTTCTTACTCTATTTTTAAGTTGGTGATGGTGTACGTCTAGGCTTGAATCGTAACCAATATTTGGCAATAATCGCTTAGGAACCATAGAATCTGTGACGAGTTAATTTTTAGCATTCTGACTTCTTACTGGTATTTTTAATGAACAGATACAAGTAAGTCACTACAATCGGCAACAGGGAGAGTTATAACACTTGGTCGTACGATAAGCAAAACTGTGCTGAAAGTTGAAATTTAGTGCATAATATTCCTTAATACTATTGTCAATACAGTTTTTTAAACAGTGAGATAAATCTGTGTCATTTCATAGATGAAACAATGAATAAATGTTTAAGAGGTGTTTGTGTCTACTGCAAATCTCTTTTATGATACTTTTTACAGAGGCATTTCATTACTGGTGAATGTCTAGGCCCTAACTTTAACATTTTTACCTCTGATAGTTTCCGAAAATTGGAAAAAAGTACCTACTACATCAACAAACCGAAGTAAAAGATGATCATTCCATAATTTCAGCTTTTCTTTCCTGAAGAAGCTCGGGCCAAAATCTCGTACGAAAGGTTATTTTTAGACATGCTATGGCTTATACAAGTGAAAAACTTATCTCTTATCAGTAAACAAATGTTTGGGCCTAACAAGCGAAGATGTTTCAATTATATTTCTTTATTGTGCAGAAAATCTAATAAATCAACAATAATTCATTTCAGTTGCAGGTTGTTTGCAACTGATGAAATGCCATGAAATAAAATGAGCTCATTTTATTTCGCAAGTCTTTCTTTATTCTTGCTTTGTTCGAATTTGTCAAGAGAGCTAAGTGTGCGAAAGTCATCATGATTAGATCTAGGATGATAAATAACCTTTCTCCTACTTTAAAAAGTTCTCGATTACGCTGTTTACTAGATAATTTCCTTCATTTTACAATGCAGAGCTCGATGGTCTGTTTATACTGAAGGAGCATTCTTGGTATGTAAATGAAGAGAGTAATATCAATATTAGAGTCCTTATAATTTGAACAATTTTTTGCGGAAAATTCTCATCAAAGGTTTCGTAATATAGCCACTTTATGTCTGAGTCATATAACCTTAGATACAAAACACTCAACGGAATTTTCAGATTTTATTGGACTTTTAACTAGCTTTTCAACAAAACTGTACAGTTTGATGCATTTCACGTCTCTTCAAATGGTCGAATTGGAGTTGTGACAGTCTGTAAGAATGAGACAGTACAAGTCAGAGATAAACCATTGCATGTAAAGACTGGTAATAAGTAACTGGTTCCTTGCCCTTGGTTTTACAGTCTACTTCATGTTGAATAAAATTCAGATACTTTAGAAGCTTCTTTTTTTCGTGATAGAGAAAACCATATTGATATTTTGTCTCAGTAAAGTAGCCATAAATAACTTTCGTTGTGCTTTCAAAGACATTTTAACTTTTCAGCTTTTTAAGCATGACTAAACTTGCCAAAAATGAAAACTCATGCCGTTAGTAGTCAGGATCTTATCCCACTCAGTTTTGACCGTCTTTTGGTGGTGAGGTGAATTTCAATACCACCAACAGTACTACCAGACAGAGGAAATCGCTATTTGCACATACCTTTGAAAGGTATTTTACTGCTGAATACAAAACGTGTTCAAGAAGAATGTAAGCATTTCTTTCTTCACAAATCAACCATCGAATAACTATGGTAGATACTTTGCAAGATATTTACCTTAATATCAGCACAGAGTTTTCAATAAATTCAAAAATCTTTTGCACTTTATCACTTGCAGGTGACCAAATGATGCACAAGCAATAGTTAGTCGAAATGAAACCAACTTTTGTAAAAAAAAAACAGTAAAGGCTTGTATAAATATGCCTTTAAAAAAGGATATTTCTCTTGGTGGCAGAATTATCACCCTGCATATGTGCCGCTTAACTTTATTTGTACAAAATCAATGCTGAACTGCTTGCTATATGTAGAGTAATTTCTGTCCAGCTTCCAGCCGACATCCGCTGATACAAGTCATTATGTATCATTGAGAAAACAACTACATGTTACTCCTATCTTTCCTTTGTGTAAGATTTCAAAATATTATTTGGTGAAAATAAAAGAGGAAACGAATTCGCAACTTTGAGTTCACTTTTATCTAGACGTTACTCGATTTATTATAAAAACCATAAAGCCTTTTAAACAACACAGATTTAAGTGACTTAATATTCCTGAGTGACATGTAGGGCTGCAGTGAATGCTTGATTTATACCACAAGTAAACCAAGAAGCAAACAGCTTTTGTTTATACCGCTTATAAACATAAGCAATTGGTATTATTAAAACTTGCATAACAGGGAATCTAATCTTTTGAAATTTATCCCTAATTTTATAATGCTTCATAATAGCAAAACTGTGAACTGAAGAGCGAAAGACAGCCTTTTATTACATTACACAGCATTATAAAACTTCATGTAGCTGTTATGTCCCACAAATTAAAATCCATTTAGCAAAGTTCAAGTATTTTAACAGCAATAATATTCACCTGAACTGTGCAGTAAAATGTAAAATCCAAAAGTAAAACCCAAAATTTCTTACAAATTTACAGAAGCCTTCTTAAAAATTACCGTGTAGCTGTGTAAAAGACAGTTCAAAGTCTGCAGCGTTGAAATATTTTACTTAGCTGACAATATAGCCAACTTTTGATTTTAAGGAGTTCTTCATTAGATTGTTTCTTCTTATAAACCTAGATAATGCGTTACTTGTTACTTCCCTAACTTTAAGTCTAAAAACACAAGGGATATTTTTCAAAGAAGATAAAGAGTTGCAATACAAAGCATGAAACCTCCGTCTGTTATTTGACTTTGCCTTCAAGATACTTACTTGTATGCATTTTAGTAAATACCTGGCTCTTTATCTATACTTGCAGTATGAGCTGGAAATCGATGACTATCTCGAATTTTGAAGGATGATTAGTGACATGTACAGCTAAACAGACAATACCTTGATCAAATCCTAGACAAAAAGTGTGATTTTGGTTGCTACCCACTCCTGATATTTTTATTTAAAAAACCCATACAAGGAATAATTGAAACTGAACAGCACAACATATATCTTAGTAAAACAGTGCAATCAAGAATCAGCTTTCTTTTTACCTTCTGTTTCTTCTCGGACATTAAAAGAAAACCAATAACTTGTCCTCCAAATATTATTCCGCCCAAAATAAGAAATGCTCTTGGAATGCGATCCAGTACATCAGGGTCTTCAAAAAGCCTTCGATCACAGTTAAGTATTTGAAAATAACGTTTATTAATAGAAGGCAGTTGTAGTAAAAATGAACTTTGTGATATATCGACAAAATAGCTTGTTATCACCGTAGTTAACAATAAATAGTTTCTTGCTACTGTTTTTTAAGGAAACATTCAATAATTTATATCCACTGGTCAACTTTAGGTGTTTTTTTCCCGATAAATGTTGGGTTATTTCACTTCTAAATTAAAGTCCACTTTAAATGCAATACTCATTGGTATATTTGTCTTCATTTTCAACAGTGATACTTATTCTCAGACTCTTGCTAAATCCACCTCTGAAGTGATGTACTCTTGTTTCTGAGGTGGTATTCATTACTGATTGATGTCAGTGCACGTTATTGACGCGCTTCTGGTGGAATATCTTGAAGTCCCAGTTAGAAGTCACGACCACTGGAGTGAATCAAGTCAGATGTAAGAAGGGATCACTCAGCAACGGCATTAAATGACTGATTAAAGTAGGGAACTGTGAATCACTAGGTTCTGACCCATCGGCTCGATGTTAATGTGTTCGTTGCGAAACCTGAAAGACTTGAGCTCGATATCTGGCGGGTATGTGGATACACACTGTTTAGAAGTTTCACAGTAGGGTAAAAATGATTTCCAGTGGCTGCTGATTTTACTGCATAATGAATACCATTTTGGAATCAGCGAATCTACAAACATCAAGACTGAATCCATTTTTGTGTTTACAAACAAATAATGCGGCAACAATAACTATTCATAACCATCTGAGCTTTGAAATAAGTTTGTAAAATGGTCAGTAAAACCACAGCATATCGCTAGATTTCGTATCACACCACTGGGAACTATAGTGGCAACAAATATTAAATATTTCGGGCTTTTCCCAGTGAAGTACTACCAGTTTTATACACTTTATCATTATTATTATTATTATTTTTCTCTTAAGTTCCTAGTGAAACATAGGGCTTCAGTAGCACTCCTATTGCACTCTCTTCTCTGCAGCCTTTTGAACTTGGCTCCATGACTGCCCACAAGATGTCATTTCTTCCTCACATGATCTCCTCCGTGTCACACTTAGATGAGACGCCCAACTCGTCATTTCGACTTTGGATTTTACTCGACGACCTGGCCTGGTGCGTGATATCCCCAGTTGGCCTTCTCAGTGTATGCCCATTCCAGTCCACCTCCACTTTTTTCTGCATTTTCCCTAAGGTAATGGGTTCTTGGTTGGTTAGTTGCTCGGCCAGAGTTCCCTGTTGCTTATTCCTATCCTTTCTGGCCATCTGATCCACAGTACCCAGCGTAGACAGCTGGTGTTGATGAATGTCTGCAGTCTATTACAAAATGCTTTCTGTAACGCGCCAAGTCTCTCAACCATCATAATAAAGCACTGGCTTGACAATGGTGTTGAAAATCGGGATTTTGTTCACGCTTTATGCTGAGTGCCATGCAGTGCAGTAGATCTCCACACTGATTTTAGATTAATGAAGGCCTGTCTTGCTTTTCCATCATGGTTTTGACATCCACACATTTATCCCCGAAATAAGTGTGATTCTCCTCTTAATAGTACATTTAATCTGCGAAATCGACTATTCTTAAATGCAACCGCTCCACAGTGGTCTTCCAGAGTATTTCACCGAAATCTAATAACTGTTGTTCCTCACAGTGATTTTGGAGGTGTAAGTATACGAGGTAAATGGGCACTGCATCAGCCTTACATGATGACCGAGGCTCAATTTCTAATTGCATTTATGCTCTACAGTTGAGTCGTGAATAATAACCTCAGACTGGTCAGTAATGTTGATTTTAGAAAGATTATTTATTTTACACGGTAACTGTGGACACAACGATCAGCATTACAAGTTCAGATAAAATATCAAACTGCTTCCTTGCTTTTAAGGACTAAGGAAGTGTTTTGAATCAATCGTTTATTATCATGTTGACACCTGAATTTTATCACAGACTTATGAATAATATCATGTTTTGTAGTCCTGTTGTAAGAGAAGGAAAAACTTTGTTTTCGGATTAAGTAACCAAATTTAAGAGATTCTAAGCGAATTTTATTTGTTTGTTAGTTTTTCATGCAAAAGTTGCATATAATCAGGGATTTCTTGTTAGTAAGGGTGGGTTTTCTGTCCTAAAAATCGAACGGCTTAATAATTTCAAGATACCACATACATACTTAAGTTTGCTGACTGCTGAGAAGTGAGTACTCCAAATACAAATCTATACAAGAACCTAGGCAAAAGCATCACAGATTAACATCCATACTGTGTTATAACAAAAATTACAAAAAATCAACCATTCTAATTTGTTTCCAAAAACAGCAAATAAGCAAATTCAAAACCGTGACCTTTCTTGGAGCGTCATTTTAAAACGCTAAGTGACACTATAGAAAATGGTTCAAAATAGTAAAAGTGCTGCTTTATTTCGTTTCATCAGATACTGACTGAATGACCGAATTCCAAACTAAGGATTCAACACCATCATCATCTCATTATTCAGGCCCGCTTGTTTCCTGGTATTCTTTATCTTCAAATGTTTTTTCTACTTTGAAATACTTTTCAACTCTCTTCAATTTGCAATGCAGCAGCGAGTAACAAATTGGAACGATGTAGTCACTCGAATCACATATATCAGTGTTATGTATTCTTTTGTAGTTTTAAAACTACTGGTTTTACATGTCCAAATGTGAGATGGTTTTTAAAATTACTTACAGGGTTGGCATTAAAGCACGAAGATCAACTGAGAGGGTTAAGTGAACTCAACACTTTCTTTAATGTATACTAGTAGTTACTTGAATGTGACTTTCCTTAGACTGTTTTTTTGAGAAATTTCTAAATTTTATTGCTAGACAAATATTCCGGCTCAGCAGGTTATGAAATACTTGAAAATATATATATGTACGTTTACAATAGCATTTTAGAACAGATGAGTTTGCTTCAAAAGCACTTAGAAATACTGTGTCGGAAGATCTGAGTGAAAAACTCAAAATATTAACAAGTGGACTTACTTTGTATCTTTGTTAACTGCAACATTATTTGGGTTGATAAGTGCTGTCTGTATAGGGGTAAAAACGAGTGCACCTAGTCCGTATCCACCAACGACTAGACCAACGACTAAAAATCGTCGTTTAGGAAACCACTGAGCATGTTTAAGATTAAAAACATGGTAAATTAAATATATTGGCCGTCAAAATAAAATATATCTTACATTTTTATATTTGCCACCAAAAAACTGAAGATCTCACTCTAAAACTACTGTGGTCAGCAATAGTATTTCAAAAGATTTTCACTATAAATACACCCACAACACTTAAAGTGTCTGCCGAAGGAGATCTGGGCTTTTTTGTAGTCACCAAAATTATTAGTTTTGCAAATGTTGAAGAAAATTTCATCTGTTTTTATAGCCTTATAACTTAAACAGTATTTTCATATGCACTTGTAAATTTCGCCTTTGATAGTTCATATGTTTTGTATAGTCTTAAGGTTTTCTAGTGTTAATAAAATTTTATCGGCAGCACCAGAATTTTATTGCCTAACTTCTTGTGGTATAGTCTGTAATGCCATTTTTAGTACCAAGAAGTATGCTACCAAGAACAATACACAGCTTACAACATAGGGCTACAGGAAACCCTGACAACTAAAAGACATCATTTTTCATTCACATTTAAGTGCTAAGGGACTCAGCGGGAAAATATATGCAAACGTCTCTAGTCCAGCAAATACTCATGATCGACATGCATGGTGAGCACACACATCTTTCTAAATGTCATTATTAGTAAACTGTTTCAAAAGCCTTACTTTCGCTGCTACAGCCATCACCACGGAATATCCAAAGCCCAATCCCAGTCCCATTAGCACAGAATATGTAATAATGACACCAATATATGACTTCTGAATTGTAATGTACGTCAGAAAGACGCTGCCACTGAAAAATGAACAGAAGCAGTCCGTAAACACAGTATTCTTAACTAAAACATTTGTAGAAAAATAAGTATTCGTTAGAAGAAGCTTAAATAATCATTGGATGTAAAGATTTATCTGGTATAAAACATAATTTTTTTAAGAATTTAGAGATTTTCGAATGAGCAAGATTTATCTAAAGCCACAATCCACATTCCCTTGTGTCTGATTGGGTCGCTAGTTCAGAACCTAAAAGTTCAAATTCAAACATGAATAGTTCATCTTGACTGTAAAGCAAACACAAGTTTCAATTTATAAAGATTTTATTTTGTGCTTTATGCTGAGACATAACAGACAAGCTTTTATCAGTCATCAACTTCTGAAATCAGTTATCTGATTACAGTGACCGGAAACACATCCGTGAGATAATTACTACTCATTAGCACATCCACGTTTTCAGTTCATGAAAGCAGAACTTTGGTCACACATTTTTTTGAAGTTTTAGTAACGTTGTTCGTTTCTAACTTTATACAAAATAATATAAACAAGTAACACAAACCTTGATTTACTTAGGACAAATGCCGATCAACGTCTGACAGACATTTGTTTGAGTCATCATTTTTCTTGACAAAAAATAACCAAATCAATTTATACTAAATAATAATGTTAGGAATTAGTCAGTAACTAATAAATATCACAAACCATATTAACCATGCTTTTTTAAACACTCGTTGTAAACGCAATTCGCAACATATCCGCTCCTCAGATGTGATATTCGGAATATACGAAATAAGGTAGTAAGTTAATCAAAAAACCTTTAAAGTGGCAGTCAAGTAGCGTGTGTATCATGTTTGTCAGTCAGTTTTAGCAGACAACTCTCCAAAACTGCCAGTCTCCAAAATTACAAATTTCAGAATGAAATTATGCCCTTCATTTAACAACAGTGATAAAGAATAAACTTTCAGTCGTTAAAATCAAACATTTAAAAAAACAAATGGGCGACGGAAAGCAGCAGAAACAAATAAAAGCAGCAAATACACTTTCTTATATCCTAAGACTACACACAACATAAGGTGCTTTTCCATATCGAGATGCCTCATATACGAAAATCAAACCACACATATAGTTATATGTCCCACAACAGACTCATACAAAAAGGGAGTGAGCTTATCAAGTTTCTATTCATAAGTTTGCTTAACTTATTCAAACTATTCACTTATTATAAAGAGCACAACTGGTTACATATGCTTTTCATTTACAGTCTGATGTTTTCACCCAATTTCTTTTTCAAACACTCGTATGAATTTGAAATAAAACTAGATTTTCTTGAAAATTGTATGACTAGTTGTTGCCAGAATGTTGGGTGAAAACTCAGTTATGCAGTAATGTGCAAAAAAAGAACACAAATTGGGAAGTATTAACCATACGAAGAGTTGTACCCTAAGATTTAAGAGATCATGGAGCAATACTGTGAGAAAATTTGAGGCAGATTGCTAATCAAAAAGTTAAGCCTAATAGTAATAAAACCATGTTTTCCATGATGTCATGCATTAGGTATAAATCGTGCATCCATGAAAATGCTTCGACACAATGACCACAGCCTCGAAAAAATGAGTAAACAAACCTGTGAAGAATACAGCTCAATGATACAACTACGCGAAAACCAGCCTTTTCATGAACAAATCCTCCAAAGGCCATAGTAGCACCTTGACAAGCCAGAGCAAGAGCGGACAACCAAACAGTTGTCTGAGTTTGAACACTTGGGTCTACACGGGCTTTTGTGTAGCTTAAAATGTAAGGAACCATGTTCGCTAAATAGAATAACATATGATAAGGGTCAGAAACTAACCTATTGTATAAAAGTAACCGAAAGTCAAATGAATTAATACAGCTCCAATTATGCATAGAGTCCCCATTAGTAAGTTCTTCTTCTTCCGCTCCTAAGATTTTTACCATTTATTATAATATGAAAAGTGAAGTACCATGTTGATATTGATTTTCGGGCACTTCTGCACCATTTTGGCTTCACAAACGCGAAAACTAAAACATATAATAACGCATCCGTTTAAATATGTGAGAAAACAACTCCTGGCCGTTGTAGGCATTAAAACAAGAATTTTGTTGGAATAATCCTATGCAAAATAATAATTCATTCTCTACAGTTTAAAAAAAATACCAGTTCTAGCTGTAAAAATGTCAGGCACAAAGTTCGATCATGCAATTTTTAACTTTTCACATCAACTACAAATTAGCTGTGTAAATCTAATGGAATCGCTCAGTAATATAATGATGGAAGTGTCTATAGGGTCTTTTTCGTCACAAAGGCCTATATTCTGGTGCATGTTACCGTAGAGTTTCGTCACTACTAGGCAGGAACTATCTTGCTAGGCCGGATGAAGTCCTCACCCTGCTGTAAATAAACATTCGGATTCAGATTTGTTGTCTGAGGAAAGGAGGCTGAGAGTCTATACTAAACTTCTTCCAGTAGATTTCTATGCTTGCCCAATCCCGTTCTGGATGAGTTGATTGATGATACGGACACCACTTCTTCTGGGAGTCGGTTCCAGGCATTGATTACTGGACGTGAGAACCAGTAATCTGCGGAGACCATGTTCGTTTTTCGCTTTTGTAGCCTCCCACTATGTCCTATGAGGTTTTCCATTATAGTGTAAGGGAAAAGAGGAGAAAGATCAGGTTCGAGGTCATTTCTTAGAATCCTGTATGGCCTGATTAGATCCTCCCTCTGTCTGCAATAGGACAAGGTGAAGCGCTTCAGCTCATCAACTAGGTCTTCGTAGTTGAGGCCAGCCATCGCAGGGATCATACGAGTCACTTCCCTCTGAACTCTTTCCGGGGGGTCTGTGTCACCTTTCAGACGAGATTCAGCCCTCTGTGTACAGTTTTCTAGTTAAGACCTAACCAAGGATGTGTATAAAATGGTGAGCATGTCACCTCTTATTTTTTAAAACGTTCCACGTAATGCCCAGTGAGTCATTCCCTTACCTCCGAGATGCCACCAATCGACAGTGAGCAGCGGTTTTCAAGTCGTAACTCACCGTGACTCCTAGGTCATTGTGGGTCAGTAATGACAGCAAAGTAGTCGCACCACTGTCATTGCGTTGGGTGCCAACGCTTTTACTGTTAGATAAGTATCCACAGATGATTCCTGTATGAAGGCCTCAGCAAAATATCCAGCCATGACCTCGGCTTGTTCCATATCGTCCTCAATCAAACAGTCATTTTCGGTCTCATTGATTAGGGTGGTTATATCGCAAAGCATCTTATTTCGATAATTTATGCAGGAAAATAACCTTTTCGGATGTTGCAATACAGCCAGGGCAAGACGTGTTTCAAAGCATGTTCGAGACCGGTGGATAACAGCGACGAAGTTGTTGCGGGCTTCGTCGTAATGCTTCGCAGCTCCGGGCGAGCCGAGGTGTGTAGCAAAACTCCAAAACTGTTCCTTGCGTCATGGCAGGATTTGAATTCCGTGGTTTACCCAGGGAGTACAATGTTTCCGTCCTCTCAGGATAGTCAGCAGAATGAACCGTTTGGTCACTCTTGCATGTAACTGTTGGAAGAACTACCATGCACCTTCAACTAAGGCTTCTGGATTGGTTGCCCAAACCTTCAAAGGAGCTGCCAGGTTTATGGCTTCCATATTCGCTTTCCATATGCTGGGCCTAGCTGGGGCATCTTCTCGGTATAAAACGTCTGCTGTGAATCTGAAGATGATCACAGCGTTATCCTTTTTAACAAGAGGTGCTAGGTGAAGGACGAGGCATACATCATTTTGTGTGAGAATACCAAGTCTGAATGTGATGGAGCATGTCGACGGTCACACCTTGTTCCTGTCCTGGTGTCCTGTATAAGGGCTGAGGAAATTAATGCTTCAAATAACCTACGATCGAATGAGGTACGTGGCGCTTTTTTGTCAGTCTTTCCCGGTCAACTGATGGTACTTTGAAGTCCCCTACGACCAGGTATCGACATTTATCTGACCAGGGGGCCAAATCATTCAAAAGGTAATCTGCTGCCTCACGTTCAGGGCTCCTACACATTATGACTACGCCAACATCTTGTCCCTTGCAGTCTAGTCGGTAGCGCAGCATTTCATATGTCCCACTTTCATGTGCAACTGTTTCTATGGCTCTTACGGTTAAGGTATTCTTAACGTGGAGGATCACACAACCACTTCTGCGTGCTAACCCATCACTTCTAAGGGGGACGAATCCTCGTAAGTGTGCTTCGCAGTCGCTGATCCAGGAAGACAGCCGAGTTTCTGAGATACCAACGATGTCAAGACTCGCTGCTTATCGCATTATTAAGCTCAATTCTCTTGTTTAAGCTTTAACTCGCATTTGTGCAAAAGACGAGGAAACTAGCTGGATGAGTTTCCGTCCTATCCATAGAGGCTTCGGCATCATTTGGTACCGAAACCTCACTGCATGAAAACCCACTACCTTCAGATCTTGCTCTCCACTTGCTAATCTAAAGTTTAGTCCTGCTACTGTTTCTTGCCTTTGATTCGGTCGGCAAGAACCAGATTCTTGAAGTCTGTGAGCATTCTTCGGAATCTGATCCCTCTCATCTGATGACTTGAACACGACTTTAAGTAGCAGAAACTTGCTTTCAGAAACGACCGTCTCCTGTTTTCTTGCTCTATATATCTTGAGTAGGTTGACCCCTGGCATGTTTTCTGGCAAAACCTGGTTTATCAAACTTTGTACCTTGCGAAGGTCATGTTCGAAGTATTCACGTGGTTCTAGGCCTCTTCTTTCTTCCACTCTGTGGAAGATTATGGACCTGTTAAGGAGCGATGTGCGAGATTTACCAAAGCCTAGTCCAGTGACCCTGACGCTGATAGCCTCAGACCTAGCCCTACGTCAGCGGTTTTCAGACTAGGATTGCCAGCTCTGTAGAAGCGAGAACCAGAAGATACTCACATCACCCTGCTTGGTGCTTTTTTCCAAGTTATCGTCATCAAACCCAGTAGGTAGTCTAAAAGTCCCACTTTCAGCTCGTTGTGATTCACTCCTAAAAGTTTGCAGCGCAATCTGTATGTCAGTGAATGCTGTGTCGTTAACACTGTCACCGTTATCAGCTCTGACTTTCGACGACAGTTTCCTAGTTATCGTATTTAGAAGTGTTTTTGATTCTTCCACCAGAGTGCTAATATTCGAGCAGCACAACGTTCAAAGCCAAACACTCCCTGCCTTGCTTTACCTCTTATATGCTGAGGGCGAGGGGCCTGTGAAGTTGTCGTGGAACCGACTCCTACATACGCTAGACTGCATACTACGGGCTACCGCGAGGTGGCACCGGGCCCTACCACAAGCAATTTTACAACACTTTTGGCTCACCATGTAGCAGAAACTTCAGAAATTCACTCAGTAAACTTTTCCGTCTCACTTTATCCAACAATCTTCTGACTAGAGCAGAGATACAACAGTCTTTGGTGTGCGAACATAAAAAAATTGCCAAGAATCCAGCTGAACGTGAAAAGTCACCCCCTTTTTCAAACAGCAAGAGTTCACGAGGCTAGCAATTGGATCCAATCAAAACGTCAGTGCGCCTACATGATGCCTGTCCCAAAGATTGCGTTCCAGTCACCTGCCTCATCATTCATTTATGAAAACAGATCCTTTGTGGAATAAAGACTTCCCAGGGATTTCAGCTCTGCTTTGATGCCAGCCCGAAATGTGGGATCAAATCTTCGTATCGACTACCCTACGACAACTAGCACCGAAGCCTACCACATTTGTCGATATTGAAAACCGGAATCTGAGGATTAAAGCGGCAAAAAATATCTCTGCTGCAAATAGTGAAGAATCGTCCGCCATATATGACCTGACGTTTGCAAACAGGAGTCCATATTATAACTGAAGTCATGAACACCCAATTGACCTGCATACAGCCTCACTTGTATTAGAACTGTTATCATGAACCTCACTCAATCTGATACCTCTGCATCAGATGTCATTTCCCCGTAATCACCCTACCATTATCAACATCATCTCTATTTGCTTCTTCCCTACTATAATCCTTGTTGCTTCTTACCCTTTCCTTGATAATGTGGTTTCACCTCAGACCTTAAGGTTTTTCACATCTCTTTTCTCTTCCTCATCTTCCTTAAATTTAACCACGTTCTTCCTTTCTTTGGGCTTTTTCATTTCCTATTCATTGTTCACCAAAGCTATCTTTTTATTGTTCTAATCTTCCTTTTTTGTCATCTCGAGCGCGAGTGAAAGAAGTGAAGGTGAGGGCGATACGTGAACACCTACACTGCGATATCAAATTTATCGCCGAACTCTAGCTCTCACTTGACATCTCAAACAAAGGGATGGGTGTCACTGGCATGGAACCCCCCGCAGGGACAGATAGCTCAGAGCCGGGGGGAGGAGCTCCCACCCAAGTTCTCGTTCAAAGGCGACGGCAGTCAGTGATACGACCCCGGTCCAGCTTCCGGAATCTTAATGGTGCCATTTCACCCCTCACAGCATTAAATGCTTGCTCCGGGGTCATATATCGGTCTTCAGCTAGCTCTTTTACACATGAGGAAGTGGTCCTCTAGGTAATTTTGGCGACGTTTTCTCTCCAGATTGCGACTACATAACCATTGGTGGCGGCTTCAACACTCCGTCCATCTTCCCTGAGATGGAAGGGTGGTGCACCAGATCCTTCAGTCTGGAACTGAACAATGCAATCGAGACCCCTGGTCTCTCGAAGAAGGTGAGCGATGCCACACTCTGAGGGCCTGGTAAAAATGCATCGCACCTTGACTGCGTTCTGATGAAAGATGATTTTTTTAGTGAGGACATTTGAATCAAACCTCCTCTTGGTCTCAGCTATCACGCACTAATAACTTCATAATAATAATAATATATTTCATGCAACAAAGGTTACATGAATACAAACCAGTTTACAGGTTTGATCACTTTGGTAATGAGAGATGACTATTATGTACAGTGTTATGCTATATATTAGATGCTGTGATTTGTGGCATATAGGAGGCATG